ACTGTGAGTTCTAGTCCCAGCCTCAAGCATGAAAGCCAGCTGGGTGACTTTGTATCAGTCATTCCCTCGCAACTCAACCCACTTCATTGTTGATAGTTGTTGTTCAGAAAATAGAGGGAAGAAATTGTGTTGGATATGTTTGTTGTCTTAAGTTATTTGTAAAAATAATAAAGGCGAGATGCATACAAACAAACAAGCTAATAAATAAAATCATACTTCTTGGTGAGGCTATAACTGTGACGTCTGTTCAAAAGTTAGTCCTGCTGAATTTAACAAGGCACTATTCCAGTAAAGGTTGTTCATCTAAAACAATTTCTATCTTCCCCACTTTTTTTTTTCTCACTTCAATTTTAGGTGAGAAACAACTGTTGGCAATCCTTAGCTGTGAAAAATTGCTTGCAACAACTTCTACATTCAGCTGATAAAGCCAGAGCACTTTATTTCTTGAGCATCAATAAGAGAATGACAAGTGCTACTTAGGGTGTCAAGGCAAGGAACGAAAGAAGAGAAAGTCACTGGAAGCGATGCTATTTCGGTCCACTTTGTGGAACATGTGAAATTATACTGGAAAGTTTGACAACCTCGGTTGTGTAGGAGAAGATTCAGAGCAGAATTTGCTGGCAACACAACATTAAATGGAAAGTTCTGCCATTCATTTCACACAACTTTGGCAACTTCTAAAATGCAGATTTCAGATCCCAGAATCCTCTGTGATGGTCCTACTGGCATAGGAATTCTGGGGATTGAAGTCCATACATCTGGCAGTTGCCAAGGCTGGGGAATTTGCTTGAGAATATACTGTATTTTCCTGAAAACAAGACCTTGTCTTATATTTTTTTTGCCACCAAAAAAGGCACCAGGTCTTATTTTGGGGGGATGTCATCCACTGACTAACCTCATTTGTGCCTGGCCTCCTTTTCACTGTCAGATGCCTTCAGGAACATCTTCTGCGGCTGGCAAGGCTTTCCTGAAGACCTCTTCAGCTGATAACAGAGCTCTAGATCGATCCAGAGCTTTGTTATCAGCTACAGAGGCCTTCAGGAAAGCCTTGCCAGCTTTGCCAGCTGCAGAAGAAATGGGCCGGCAAGGCAGGTGTCGGGGTGTGCGAGGCCTGGCTACAACTATTCAAAGTAATACGGCAGCTGCACCCCACCATCTCCACCCTAGCTTAATATTTACCCGTGCACTCTGGAGTGGGTGGGATCTTAATTAGGGCTTATTTTGGAGATAGGGCTTATATTGAGTGCATGTGTAAAAATCAAGCTAGGATTTAGTTTCAGGGTAGGTCATATTTTTGGGGAAACAGGGTATAATCTAAATGGGTTTCCTGTTCCATACCTTAATTCCTGATGTTTGATACCTAATGCCTCTGCTTTCAGAAATTAAATCAATTTTGGTTTCTATTGTTTCACGGTGTGATGAGAAAAAGGAGATTCTTGGGGGGGGGGAATCAGAATTTATCTATTTGGTAGAAATAATGTGGGGTCATTCTGTGCGCTCTCTGAGTTTCAATGCTTTCTTGCAAGACGTTTCATTACCCGACTAGATAATATCATCAGTGCTAGAAGGAAGTGGGGTTTGCTCTCTGCTACATATAATGACTTGCCCTGCCAATGGAAATGCTATTCCAGAGGAAGGGGACAGCAACCGCAAAACCGTGTTGATGGCAATCTCTAATTGAGGGAACACATAAAGATTCATCCCTATTAGATCTTAGCAGCTTGCAGAGGTCGCTGGAACAAGGGAATTTCACAATTATGTGGGCCCTGAACCCTGATCAATAATATTTCCACTCAATAATAATTTTTCTGAAGGGTCCTTGGTGCTCTCTGAGCTTGCTTGTTTTCTTGCAGATGTTTCATTACCCAAACCAGGTAACGTCATCAGTGCTAGTAAGGAGTGCTGTTTGCAGTCAGTCTATATTCTGTTGCGTTGCCTATCTGTGTGGGTTGGGGTGGTCTTAAACAGAGGTGATATTCAGCAGGTTCTGACCAGTTCTGGAGAAACAGTAGCGGAAATTTTGAGTAGTTCAGAGAACCAGTAAATACCCTCTCTGACTGGCTCCGCTCCCATCTATTCTCTGCCTCCCAAGTAACAGCTGATCGGCTGGGTCTTCTTTTGTTGCCCTGCACAGGAGAACGGAGCTGGAAAGGAGGTTAGTGGGGTGGGGAAGGAATGGGATTTTGCAGTATCCTTCCCCCAGGAGTGGGGAGGGAATGGAAATTTTACAGTAACCTTTCTTCTGAAGTAGAGTGAGAATGGAGATTTTACAGTATCCTTCCACTGCCATGCCCATCAAGCCACACCCACCAAGCCACGCCATGCCCATCAAGCCACACCCACCAAGCCACGCCATGCCCATCAAGCTACACCCACAGAACTGGTAGTAAAAATTTTTGAATCCCACCACTAGTCTTAAGGATTCTTTGGTCGGGCTCTTTATTGATAGCTCTTTGGCAGTTTCTTGAGTAGGGTATTGCTTACTTGATTGTTGGTCTGAGTGCTGATTACTGGTGGAGAGGTGCTGGAGTCTTTTTGTTCTCTTTTGGGCTGGTTGATTGTCTCTTTTGCACAGTCTATAGACGTTAATATCTATGTGTCTATCGATGGCTGATTCGTCAGAGTGCCAGATTTCTAGAAATTCCCTGGCATTTTTGGCTTTGGCCTGGTCTAGGACGGTCACATTTTCCCAATTGAAACTATGGTTATATCTGTCTATATGTTGTGAAACTAAAGAATTTTCATCATGTCTTCTGACTGCCAGCTGGTGTTCATGGATGTGTTCTACCAGTCTTCTGCCTGTTTGTCCTACATAGTGATTATTGCAGTTTTTTACATTGCATGTTGCAGATGACTCCTGTTTTTTCTTCTGGGGTTGCTTAGGATGTTCTGAAGGACTTTAATGTTTCTATTTCTAAGCATCCACTCACCAGCAATCAACACCCAGATGAGCAGATTTACTCCAAGATACTCATGTTGTTCTATGCAAAGTAGGAACCTTAATTTAGAGACTACCTTACAAGCCAACGCATTGTTTGTTTGTATCTCAATAAGTTGCCCAGAGTTACTTACCCTATAGTAAGATGAGTGGCCAATAAATTTTTAAAAAGGTAAAATTCTCCCTGTTCAGTCATATCTGACTCTAGGGGATGGTACTCATCTGTTTCTTGGCTGCACAGTTTGTCTGAAGACACTTATGTGGTCATGTGACCAGCATGACAATATACCGAGGCACATAGAACTCTCTTACCTTCCCATTGAAGTGGGTACCTATTTATCTACTTGCATTTGCATGCTTTCAAACTGCTAGGTGGGCAGGACCCTGAGGCAAGTAATGGGAGCTCAACCCACTGTGTGGCGCTCGTGTCTCAAACCTGGTCTGTCAGCTTTCCATCTGACAAGCTCAGCATCCTTTTTTGATACATTTAACAAATAAATAAACAAACAAGACCTATGCAATATCTTCACACACATTCAGGATTCACACACTGCATAGAGTTCCGTACTGCACAAAGGAATAGCATGAATAGGTACCGTACAGTTAGTTCTCAACTTATGATCAGTCACTTAGTGGCTGTTCAAATGTATGCTGGATCTACCTGGGGGCTCCTTATGACCTATATTCAGAGTTATGATAGTCACCCCTCCACCAACGTGGCCCAAATTTGGGTGCTCACCAACAGGGCTGCATTTACAGCCATTTGCAGCAACCTGCGGGCATACGACTATGTTTTAGGATGGTTTTGCCCAAACCTGACATTTATTTCCTTTTTTTAAGCAAAACCATGCCCCATAGCGAACCATTCATTCACTTAATGGTCCTTAACCAAATGCGGCATTAAGGACTGTGGTGGCTGTTTCACAATCACCATGTTTGCTTCATGTTGGCTCAGTATTTCATCCTTCCGAGGTCAGTAAAATGAGGACCCAGATTGTTGGGGGTGATAGGCTAACTTTGTAAACTGCTTAGAGAGGGCTGTAAAGCACTGTGGAGCAGTATATAAGTCTAAGCACTATTGCTATTAATGTTAATATATTTAATTTAATAGCTGTAACAGTAAATAGTATAATGGGCCAGAACCAGAGGTGGTATTCAGCAGGTTCTGCCCAGTTCTGGAGAACCGGTAGTGGAATTTTTGAGTAGTTCGGAGAACCGGCAAATACCACCTCTGAGATTTTACAGTATTCTTCCCCTGCCACGCCCACCAAGCCACACCCACAGAACCAGTAGTAAAAAAATTTGAATCCCACCACTGGCCAGAACACACAGTTGGAATTGATTGGTTGGAGAGTGCAGGCTCCTGCAGGAGGCTATCTGCTTTATGATTGGTTGCTGGGGTAAAGGGGCGTTTCCCTTTTTTCCCGCCTTTTTTCTTCTTCTGGGTGCTGTTCTGTGATTTACCTGACAATTTACCTCACGATCTAGTGAGGTGCCTGACTATCTTGTTTGCTATAAATATAAATGTAAAATATATTTATTTGTATAAAACTACAAGTTCGTCTCAGCGTCCCTGACTCCATTTGGACACTGGCTGTTCAATTACTCGACCCTTAACGACCACTGCAAACATGGCTGTAAAATCAGGCGGTCATGTTTTATGACTGTCACAATTTATGACCTTTATGGGCAGGCTCCATTACAGTTGTACATCAAGGACAACTGTAATGTTGAAACTTCAGAGGCCAGAAAAACATCTGTTTTTTTCTACCCATCTTGGTAAATAGTTTAAAAAAAAAACTTTAGATCTTTTCAAATCAAAGCTTAGTCCATTCACTGTCTGCCTAATCCCTACTACATCTTTTTTTTTTTTAGCATGGAAATGTGTGGGTGGGAATCAAATCTCAGATGTCCCAACTCCAAGCTCAGAACCCGGATTTCCGAATTGGACCTTCGAAGTATTGCTTAAAGCAACCTCAGATGCGCAGCCTCTGGAAAACAGCGGGGCTGTGGGTGCCACGGACCCATAGAAAGGAAAAGGGAAAAGAAAAACCTGGTTCTAAAAAAAAATTAAAACATATTTATTTATATATTTATTTCATATATAAAAGAAATTAAAAAAGAAAAGGAAAAAGAAATCACAAGGAAGATGCAGGCTTATGGCAAATCCGTCTTGTCTGCGGCTTCTGCCTGGACAGCTGATTCGGATCCGCCCGGAGTTAGTAAAGTCCGCCGATTGTAATGACCCTTAATGATGCCCGAATTATTGTTCTCGTTTAAAATTTGCTTCTGCTTTTGCCTGTTCAGAGATTGCACGAGCCCCAGCACGACAGCAGCTAAGGAGTATTGTCCTGTTAGTTTTCTCGGTTGCATGGTCAAAGGGTTGGGCTGGACTCTTCCCAGAAGGAAGTACGTTTTGATTTTGCCTTCTTGCTCACTGATTCCCTTGACATAAATCTCTCCCCGATAGTCAAAGGCAAACCCCCGGTCCTTCAAGATCAAATAGGTATCCTCAGGCACTTGTATTCGGCCACTAATTCCGGTACTGTCCATTCGACTAGCTAAATTAACAGTTTTGCCCCAGATATCATACTGTGGTTTCTTAGCACCAATGACCCCAGCTACAACCGAGCCTTGGCTGATACCTAAGAAGAGAAAAAAGGTACAGAGTGATTTATGGTTCAGAGCGATCCTATAAAATCTGAGGTCTCCAGTGAATGTAATTATATAACTTGTGAAGAGTTGCTTGCTCATGTCAAGGAGGAAGTAACTTTAGGCTTTCAAAGGGATGCATCTGTATGTCTTGGAGACATTTCTACCTATGGCAAGCAGCATAAATAAATAAAGACTTTCTTTTCAGCTGGTGGGAACCCTGCTCATCTGGGACACTGTGGAGGTCACTTAAAAATGTTCAGCAGATACCTACCGATGCGGAGCTCAAAGTTGTTAAAAGAATGCTTGTTAATCTCTTGAATGCTTTCATTCAGTGCAATGGAGAAATCTGCCAGGGCGCATAAATGGCCCCACTTATCTTCACACTGCTGAGGAATGAAAGATAGAATCAATGCATCATGCGTGTTGATCAGCTGCTCCGTCAAAATGGAGCCAAATTCTGAAAAACAGTTCAGAGCTATTGAGCTTAAAGGTTGCAGAATATTAGCCAGGGGAGAAGCTTTTCTCTTTTTGGAATACCACAATACTACAACACCACAACAAAGAGAGCTTTCTTTGAAACTTAGGAAGATTCTAGTCCTATTCAGTGTCAGCGTTCCAACTAACAAACTCCAAACCAGAAGCTGACATTCAGTTCATCTATCTAATTTGTCCTTGGATGCCATTTTAGAATAGAATCAAAGAATAGAATAGAATAGAATAGAATAGAATAGAATAGAATAGAATAGAATAGAATAGAATAGAATAGAATAGAATGGAATGGAATGGAATAGAACAGTGATGGCTAACCTATGACACGTGTATCACTCGTGACACGCCGAGGCACTTTGACTGACACGCCTGTTGGTGTGGGGAAAACCTGCACATTTAGAGGCTGCCTGTGCTCTGCTCCAATCCCTGCTCCTTGCTTGTTGCGTGGAGGCGTGGTGTCACCGCTGCCGCAAGATCTTTGCAGCAGAGAACCAGTTTTAACCGCCATAAACTGAGGTTTGTCAGTTTCATTACCTCAGGAACGCTACAGGAGGAAAGGAGATCCATGAGGTTCACAGCCCTGTAAGGTGGCCTTCCGATCCCCACATCCTGCACCTGCAGCCCTGAGACCAGGGAGACGAGTTTCACAGCCCTGTGTGATCACCCCAGCCCAGTCCGTCATAAACCAAATTATTTATATTTCTTGAAGTGACACACGACCCGAGGAAGGCTACACTTTTTCCCGATTTTCGACACACCAAGCTGAAAAGGTTAGCCATCACTGGAATAGAATAATGGGATGGGATGGGATGGGATGGGATGAGATGGGATAGAATAGAATATAGAATAGAATAGAACAGAATAGAACAGAACAGAACAGAATATCAGCCAAGTGTGATAGACACACAAGGAGTTTGTCTCTGGTGCATAAGCTCTCAGTGTACATGCAAAACAACAAAGTAATAATAATCATACTATCCAAGTAATAATAATCATAATGATACCAACAAGAGAAGGTAATGGAACAGATGTGAAGGATAAAAGTAATAGAGCCATACTACATGAGTAAATATACTTAAGACATAAGCCAGTTCTGTGGGAATCAGGTGCTTGGAGAATTATTGAAGCAAACAACCCCTCTGTGCAATTCACAACTCTACTTTATTAGGATCTCAAAATGGCAAAGGGTAGAGATGGGACCGGAACAAAATGTGCAGCTCTGCCCTACATCTGCTTGCAAATCTTTCTTCTTCTGTGCCTAAATCAATGATGAAGAAGTAATGAAAAGAATGGGAAAAAAAATCCAGCTATAGAAAAGTATCTGAAATCCATAGTTGAAAATCTATGTAGCTCAGGTTTCAACAGTTGAGTTCTTGGTGTGCTCCAACCTTGGTGTTTCCTATATGTTATCAGGCTAGGTGACCTGATTTGTGTGAGGAGTGTGGAATTTATGGGTTTTTAAAATATATTATTCTTTGTCCTGCTAGTCTTGGTTGGGCTGTGGCTTCCTTTTTCTCTTGAAACAAGACAAATGTGTGTTAGAAAATCAGATTAGCTCCTTACCTGTTTTTCAGGGGACAGCCCTGATACCGCCATATATGTGCTTCCAATGGTTTTAATTTTCTCAATATCCTGAAATCGTTCTTCACCTAATAACTGAAAACATCGATTTCAAAGTCATGGTTATGAGATACGTTCTTGCTAAATGGTTTCATTTTACATCCTTCACCCTGTGATTTATTACTTTTGAGTAATGGACAATATAGGTAGTCCTTGACTTATAATCACATCTGAGCTTAAAATTTCTGCTGGTAAGTGAGGCGGTTGTTAAGCGAGTTTTGCCCCATGTTATGATCTTTCGTGCCCCACCTGTTAAATGAATTACTACAGTTGTTAAGTTAGTAACACGTTTGTTAAATGAATCTGGCTTCCCCATTGACTTTGCTTGTCAGAAGGCTGCAAAAGGGGATTACATGACCTTGGGATAATGCAGCTGTCATAAATATGAATCAGTTGCCAAGCTTCTAAATTTTGATCACATGACCATGGGGATGCTGCAATCGTTGTAAGTGTGAAAAATGGTCATAAGTCACTTTTTTCAGTTCAATTATAATTTTATCTCCTTCGGAAATATTGAATTGCTAACTAGGGCATACAAAACCTTTGCTAGACCAATACTTGAATACAGCTCATCAGTCTGGAATCTGCATTGTATATCGGACATTAATACAATTGAGTGAGTCCAGAAGTATTTCACGAGAAGAGTACTACACTCCTCTGCTCGTAACAGAATACCGTACACCACCAGGCTTGAAATTTTGGGCTTGGACAATCTTGAACTACGCTGTCTATGGTTGGACTTAAGCATAGTACACAAAATTATCAGCTACAATGTCCTACCAGTCAATGACTGCTTCAGCTTCAACCGCAACAATACACAAGCACACAACAGATACAAACTCAATGTAAACTGCTCCAAACCTGATTGCAGAAAGTATGACTGACTTCAGCAACAGAGTGGTCAATGCCTGAAATGCACTACTTGACTCTGTTGTTACATCCTCTAACCTCCACTCCTTTAACCTCAAACGATCCACTATGGACCTCACCCCATTCCTAAGAGGTCTGTAAGGGGCGTGCATAAGTGCACCATCGTGCCTACCTTCCCTGTCCTATCGTCCCCATTTATTTGTACCTATTTCCTATATTCTTACTCATGTTTATACTTATACCCATTATCTTGTAAGCAATTGACAAATCAAATAAATAAATAAAATAACTAAACTTCAAAGAGTCATGAAACAAACTGTTGTAAATCAACGACTATCTGTACTGTATTGACCCAAAAGAAAGATGATCAATGATCCTGAAGGATGCCATTCCCCTTCATGAAAGGAAGAGGAGCTAAAAATAATTATTAACAAATTGTTGCATAGTACTTACTATCCCCACTGAGTTTTGAAAGCAATAGTGAAAAATTCTCTCTCTCTCTTTTCAGTGAAAGTGTGACAGTCAGTTTGATGTAGACTGGAAGCTCAAGATTTTGTCTTCTAGCACTACCATCCTACAGTGACCAGAATCGTAGATCATGGACCATAACCTTCAATGAAAAAACCTTCAACTTATAGTTGCCCAATTCAGGTTGACCGTGAGAAAAGTAAAAACAATAAATGTGTGCACATATGTGCATTCTTGAGTTTAATCATTTTTCCACGCAGACATTACAATGAAGGTTTTCATGAAATGTTGGAATATGAGTGTTGCTCATCGTTACAATGAGTGCTTGTGGCTACTCTATTTTGTTGCTTATGGGTTTAGTTTAATTATTCTGTTGGTTGGGTTTATTGCCTGGTTTTAATTGCGCTGCCGTTTTTAATGCTTTTATCTTTCAGCAGCCCATGCAAGTTGCAAGAGAAATAAATATGCAACCCAGAGGGCTTTTCTATAATCCTGCAGAACATCTAAATGTGGTGGCTTCATTAAATTATGATGCCACCGGACCTTTGAGATTTTTTTTTTTGATAGTTATTTGGTATAGAATGAGAGAACTATCATCTCTTTCCTGGCCTTGAGAGAATTGTGCACATTAATTGTCTTTTATTTTTCAATCCAGGCAGTGTTTCTCAACCTGGGGAACCTGGAAGATGTGAGGACTTCAAATCTCAGAATACCTCAGCTAGCCATGCTGACTGGGTTGCCCAGACTGACATGGAATTATTAGCAAAAAACAGATCTATAAGATGGTTGGCTAAGAATAAAAACATCTTCCAACCTGAAAAATACCTTTCAATGGGTATGCCACAATTACAGAGAAGAGCCTATACCAGAGCCAGATTTGAGTTACTGGATTCCATGTCCAGACATGGGCGCTTCCACCAGGCACCATACCACGAGAGAACCTGTTTAGGTGGCTCATCTGCCATTGAAGATATTTCCCACATCTTGTTCAACTGCCAAATATATACCCCCATTAGGCTTAAATATTTATCATTTCTACTGGAAAGAACAGCCCATTGGGAATCAAACCACAGATTGTTATATTTCCTCCGGGACTCTAATGTTCACATAGTTCGTAGAACTGCTAAGTTTATAATCAAGGCAGCGGTCCTAAGAACTCAATATATTGAACAAATTGGTGTATCCTGCAAGGGTGATCTATTATCCTGACTCCCTGGTTTTCCATATATGTTTTTATTGCTGTATTCTTATATATCTAACTTATATGTATTTTGTCTTGTTATATATTTATGTTATGTTATTGATAAGGTCTTATGACTATTCAATTAAATAAACAATACAATACCATGCTGACTGGGGAATTCTGGGAGTTGAAGTCCACACACTTTTGAATTCCTAAGTTGAAAAACACTGATCTAGGCATTTTCCTATGTAGAAATTGAAGTTGGGTGGTGATTGGCAGACAATGAGGAAAATCAAAGCAGAAATCTATCTGTAAGGCTCTTTAGAATAATTCCAACAAATACAGATGGTGTTTATGACCACAACTGTGCCCAGAATGTATGTTGCCAAGTGAGAAATTTGTTGTGAGTTTTGCCCCATTTTACGATTTTTCTTGCCACCTTTGTTAAGTGAATTACTGCAGTTGTTAAATTAGTAGCATGGTGGTTCAGGGAATCTGGCTTTCCCATTGACTTTGCTTGTCAGAAGGACAGAAGATTGCATGACCCTGGGACACGGGCAACCGTCATAAATATGAACCAGTTGTCAAGCATCTCACGTGGCCATGGGCATGCTGTAACGGTCATAAATGTGAAAAATGGTCATCCGCTCCCTTTTTTCAGTGCCTTTGTAACACGGTCACTAAATGGACTGTGGTAAGTAGAGGCCTATCTTGCACATCCCTCTTTCTTCCAATTCTCAATACATTCCTTCTGGCATTCTTTTTTTAGCCTCCCTAACCCATATCCCTGTTCTTAATTAGATTGTCCTAGCTGCTTTTAGGGACACGGTGGCTCATTGGCTAAGACACTGAGCTTGTCGATCAGAAAGGTCGGCAGTTTGGCGGTTCGAATCCCTAGCGCTGCGTGACAGAGTGAGCTCCCGTTACTTGTCCCAGCTTCTGCCAACCTAGCAGTTTGAAAGCATGTAAAAATGCAAGTAGAAAAATAGGGACCACTTTGGAGGGAAGGTAACAGCATTCTGTGCACCTTTGGCATTTAATCATGCCGGCCACATGACCCACGGAGATGTTTTCGGACAGTGCTGGCTCTTCGGCTTTGTAACAGAGATGAGCACCGCCCCCTAGAGCCGGAAACAACTAGCTCAGATGTGGGAGGGGAGCCTCTACCTTTACCTTAGCTGCTTTTCAGCATCTATTCAAGCTGGACTCACCTCCATCCTGAACGCAATCCAGAATTAAAAAGAGATTAACTGCTAGCTAAAATGGCACAGACAGAGGTTAATGTAATCAATTGGCTGACAAAATGCCAGGCCTGTTGGCATGGCCAGCTGTTCCTTAAATCTCACTCCCAAAAGGTTGCAAAATTACCTCATCAAAGTCAGCAATGATTTCATTCAGCAGTCGTAGGCATTCCACGCCCTGGTTGTTCATTTCGGTCTGGGAATAGAAGTCGGCAAAACCAGGGATAGAAGCAAACATGACGCCAACAGCATCATAGGACTGAGAGTAGAGATCCTAGAAATGAGGAGAAGGGCAGAAGAGAAAAAGGATGCCATTTAAGGGACATTTTACAGGGGAGAACAAGGGCATGCTTTTTTTGTGCTGTTAATGTGTGCTTATTTTGAGTGGCGTGGTGGCCTAAGGCGAAGACGCTCACCTCTCCCACTCAGAAGGTTGAGAGTTCAGTCCTAGGCAATGGCAGATGTTTTTCTATCAGAGTGCATAGAGAAAATATCTGCTGCAAACTCTGTGTAAGTGTCAGGAAGGGCATCCGGCCAGTAAATGCTCAGCTCCATTCAGTCACCCAGACTCAATCCAGAATTAAGGGATTACAGGGTTGTAAAAAATGCGCTTATTTTTTTTGTTTTATGTAGCTGCCCGTCTCATTTGATCAGGTTGGTATAAGGTCTCCTGCCTTAAGCAGAGGGCTGGACTAGAAGACCTCCGAGGCCCCTTCCTACCCTATGATTCTCTCTTCTGCGTTCACCAAGATGACACTTAATGGTATAGGAAGATGAAACCCAGACAAACAATAGAACTGTCCATCAAAGAATATACCAAAAAGTCAAAATGTATTCAGAGGCTATATATATATATAAAAAAATCACATCTTCGTTACAACAATCAATAAACAGCCAACTAATGGTGCTTTCTCAATCTCCCAACCTAAGTTTCAATGGGAACATTTAAGTTATGAAAAGTGTTTGTTTGTTTGTTTGTTTGTTTGTTTGTTTGTTTGTTTATTTATTTAGTCAAACATGTACAAGATAACAAGTATAAGTATGAACATAAACAAGAACAAAGGAAGTAAATACAGATAAATGGGGACAGTAAGACAGGAATGGTAGGCACTCTGGTGCGTTTATGCACACCCCCTTTCAGGGCCTCTTAGGAGTTCCAGATTGTCCAGGCCCAAAATTTTGAGCCTGGAGGCATAGGGAATTCTATTGTGAGTGGAGGAATGGGGTACTTTTCTCGAGAAATACCTCTGAACCCAGCTCAATCGTGTTAATGTTTGATATACATACAGTGCAGGTTCCAGGCAGACAAGCTGTATTCAAGAATTGGGCTGGCAAAGGTTTTGTATACCCTAGTTAACAATTCAATGTTGCATGATAGTTAAGAATGGGCACCATCCAGATCTCCAGGAGAAGGTTGTTCTATGGGGCAGACTCGGGAACCAAGAAAGATAGGGCCCCACCTCTGTTTCAGAAGAGAGTCCATTCATTTAATTTGTTCATCAACCTACCCTTCAGCAAACCCTGCTGGTGGCCTGAGGTTCAATCTTGCAACACATGGGTTAAACATCAAACAAGAATTAGGAATTTGTTTGGAGGATAACCATCTAACACTGATAATGTTACCTAATTGGATAATGAAACATCTACAAGAAAGCCACCAAACTCAGAGAGGACCAAGGAGCCCACGGTTGAACCCCGAGCTACAAAAATTCTCTTCTGTTGGTAGAACAGTTCGTTTCTTGCATACACATTTCTTGATCATGATCTCTGTGGGAACTTGTTGTTAGCTTCCCAGGGCAAATGCATCTATATTTAGAGTTTATTGCTGGTAAGCTCATGCTTGGTGTTCTAATCCTTATATAAACAAATTAGCATCAACAGGAATATGGATGAGGGTACTTGGCTAAATTATTTCACATCACCACTGGTAAATAACCCCAAAGAACAGAAGATCACAAACACCAAAGAGTGTGTACAGTGACTATTGAATGTTGTATGGGCATGCATTGTTAGAATAGAATAGAATAGAATAGAATAGAATAGAATAGAATAGAATGGAATGGAATGGAATGGAATGGAATGGAATGGAATGGAATGGAGTGGAGTGGAGTGGAGTGGAGTGGAGTGGAATGGAATGGAGTGGAATGGAATGGAATCGAATGGAGTGGAGTGGAGTGGAGTGGAGTGGAGTGGAATGGAATGGAATGGAATGGAATAGAATAGAATAGAATAGAATAGAATGGAATAGAATGGAATGGAATGGAATAGAATGGAATAGAATGGAGTAGAATAGAGTAGAATGGAGTTGAGTCAAGTTGAGTCGAGTTGAGTAGTATAACAGAGTTGGAAGAGACCTTGGAGGTCTTCTAGTCCAACCCCCTGCTTAGGCAAGAAACCCTATACCATTTCAGACAAGTGGTTGTCCAGGGTTGGAGCATCCACAACTTCTGGAGACAAGTTGTTCCACTGATCAATTGTTCCAACTGTCAGGAAATTTCTCCTTAGTTCTAGGTTGCTTCTCTCTTTGATGAGTTGATTAGATTACTTCTTGTCCTGCCCTCAGGGGCTTTGGAGAATAGCTTGCATCCCTCTTCTTCGTGGCAGCCCTTTAGATATTGGGACACTTCTATCATGTCTAATCCTCTAATCCTTTCCATTAAACTAGACATACACAATTCCCGCAAACTGTTCTTCATATGTTTTATCCTCAAGCCCCCTATTCATCATTGTTGCTCTTCTCTGCACACTTTCTCAAGTCTCAACATTTCTTTTTGTATTGTGGTGACCCAAACGGGATGCAGTATTCCAAGTATCTGTAAAGCGGTACTAGTCCTTCAGGTGATTTTGATTCTATCTCTCTGTTAATGCCATCTAGGATTGCGTTGGCTTTTTTGGCTGCCACCGCACACTGTTGGCTCATGTTTCAGTCAGCAAATGTAGGTCAGAAATTTCAGTCATCAGATATAAGAGCTTTGTAAAGACTACACAAAGAGATTTAAGGTTCATCTGGTCTGCAGGCATAGCCCATTTTCCCCCACCTTGCTGGCAGTGGTGGGATTCAATTTTTTTTTTTTTTACTACCGGTTCTGTGGGCATGGCTTGGGGCCGTGGCAGGGGAAGAATAATGTAAAATCTCCAGTCAGAGGTGGTATTTGCCGGTTCTCTGAACTACTCAAAACTTCTCCAGAACTGGTCAGAACCTGCTGAATATCACCTCTGCTTGTTGGCCAGCATAACCCAGGAGTCCCCAAACCTTGAGCCACGGCCAGCTCGAAACCAGGCCACAAGAGAGATGGGTAAGGGTCAGGGGTGGGATGCAAATGTTTTTACTACTGGTTCTGTGGGTGTAGCTAGATGGGCATGGGCATGTGACTGGGTGGGCATGGTTTCTTTTTTGTGTGTGTGCAGCATTCCTGCCCCCCGCTCTGTATTTTTTTGCCTCCTGGGCCTCAGGAAAGCCTCCTGGAGGATGTTTTTGCTCCCAAAAGGCTTCTCTGAGGCACAAGAAGGCAAAAATGCAGCACCTCCCCGTGGTCCATTTTTTGGCCTTCTGGGCCTCAGGGAAGCCTCTTGGGGTGGCGGTTTTGCTCCTACAAGGTTTCCCTGAGGCTCAGGAAAACAAAAAAAAAATGGAGCATGGGGGGAGGCCACATAGCACCCCCCTCCGCACTGTGTTTTTTCCGCCTCCTGGGCCTCAGGGAAGCCTCCTGGGTGAAGCAGTAAGACATTGAGGGGGATCGCAGCACAGCTGATCATCGGAACAGCTGATCGTCGGGAGGAAAAAAAAGAAATACAGGTTCAGCCGAACCGGTAACTGTTTTTTTTTTTTACCACCAGTTCGCCCGAACCAGGCTGAACTGGTAGAATCCCACCACTGGATAAGTGTGTGCACCTGAAGATCCACTCACGCGAATGGAGAAAACTTACACACAAAGCTCAAATGGAGCTGTGTGGTTATGCCTGCCACTCACACTCCCCTCTCCTCCCCCGGACTGGGCTACCAAACTGGAAAAGGTTGGGGACTGTTGACCTCTAGCCCACAGCTGCATAATGGTTGGAGAAAGAAACTAAGAAGCGAGACCCTCTTTCCCCAATTCTTAGACTGTAAAGAAGACAGCAGGAGATTTTTTACTTTCAAACTTCCAAGATTGTGTTAATGGAACCTTAACAGTAAAGTAGAATGAGCTCATGCGGTCTCGGTTCCTGTCTGGGCTACTTGAGAAGTCTGACAAACATCTAATTTTTGTTCCCCAAAAAGGCAGAGTCCAAGAATTAACACCCTATAAACACCTGACTCCCTTACATAACTGTGGATCGAACAGGAGCTGCCCCACACATCTGGAGAGGCTGGGAAAGGTTGAAATGCAATCCGTTTGCAGTCGCTTGTTTTCTTGTTGTGGAAGCTTTTGTGCCTTAAGCCAATCTGTGCAGAAAGGAAAGCATTCATTTCCCTATTCACTTCCCCGGGGGAGGAGGGGGGGAAGGGAGGTTAGCATATTACGTAAATAAGTGTTTACTGTATTGAACCTTGAATGATCCAGGCAGCTGATGCAGAATCTCTCTGCAGGTATGATTATTCAGTGTAACAGCAGGAGGAGGGAAAGCCTGGATGGTTTGGGGGGGGGGGGGGGTAGGAGGGTTGGAGAGAGAGATCAAAGGCAGCAATTACAGAATTACTCTTGCAAATAGCAAGTATGCTTTCAGGGCTAAGAACAGATGGAACAGGCGATGTCCTTTGTACAGCTCCCTCAGAGGGCAGGGAAGAGTTAATATCACAGGCTTGGAAGGAACCTTGATAGCTTCTAATTTGTTATTTCATTTGTTTATTTATTTATAAAATTAATCTGCCACTCACCTCATATCCAATAACTCTGGGCAGCTTAATGTCAACTCAGAAAATATTTCTGTGCCTGTTTTAGAATTGCCATGAACAGGGAGGAGGGGAGAGAAACCTGAAGGAGCAGTGAGGCAGTTTAAAACCAAAAGTGCATTTCATTCTTATCTTGCAAAGATTGTAACCAAGCTACTTGGAATTTCTGCTGTGAAAATCCCTAATTGGAGAACGTGATTGATGACTCTCAGCTGTGAATGTGTTTCATTGGAGAATATGAATTATGATACACCCAGGCCTAAAAAACATAATCCAATCCTTTGTCCAGGGCAGGGCTCTGGATATCATCGTGGACAAACTGTGGCCCAGCCTTTTGATGGTTCTTAGTAGTCCTCCTATGTCTATAAACTGTAGGTGCTTCTAATACAAATAAAGAAAAGTAGTATTGCTTGGAATTACCAAGGAGGAGACCATACCCTTACCAACACTGGAAAGGCAAGTACCATATACAAATGGAGCAAGCCCCAGTCTCACTAGATTGATGATGTTACTTAGTTGGGTAATGAAATGTCTGCAAGCAAACAACCAAGCTCAGAGAAAACCAAGGGTTCTACTGTCCAAACTTTGTCCGAAAACTTTCAAGAGTGGAGCCTCCATAATTACAGATAACAGATAATCAGAGTTGGAAGGTACCCTTATAGGTCATCTAGTCCAATCCCCCACCCAAGCGGGAGACCCTACACCATTTCTGACAAATGGCGGTCCAATCTCTCATTGAAGGTATCAACTGATGGCGGTCCCACAACTTCCGAGGACAAGCTGTTCCATTGGTTGATTGTTCTCACTGTCAGAAAGTTTCTCCTTATTTCTAGGTTGAATCTCTCCTTATCCAGTTTCCATCCATTATTCTTTGTCTGGCCTTTAGGTGCTTTAGAAAACAGCTTGACCCCTTCCTCTCTGTGGCAGCCCCTCAAATATTGGAAGACTGCTATCATGTCTCCCCTGGTCCTTCTCTTTACTAGACTAGCCATGCCCGGTTCCTGTAACCGTTCTTCATATGTTTTACTCTCCAGACCCCTAACCATCTTGGTTGCCCTTCTCTGTACAGGAGGTGGGCTATTCCAATACTTATCAAGGGATTCCTTTAAAAAAATGTATGTGTTTTAGGGTACAATGACAGAATGTTGACAGCCTGATAGAGATTCTCTTTTCCTCCCCTGCCATCAAGACAGGAAAGTTTTGAGTTTCTTCCTCAACCTTTCCTGTCTTTCTGGGCTAGGTTGATGTTTTGGCAAAGGGTGCCACATACCTTCCTCAAGGCTCTATCCATTCTTCTTGACAGCTTTCCAACCTTTATTAAAATCATAAAGCAAACTCTAAAGTGAAGCTTAACTTTTTTTGCCATGACCATTACTAGAACCCAATTCTTACGTACTTCATTATCTCGGTCCTTTTCCAGGAAGTGACGGGCCACATGGCTTGGCAGGATATTGCGTAGCATATTTTCGTTGTGTTCTCTTAACTCCTTCATCTCGTTGATTTCTTCTTTGGCCTGGCCACGCCACAGAAAGTCAAGCCTTGCTGTGTATTCAAGCTGCAAAGACAATAAAGCCTGTTAGCTTCTTTTTAATTAAACATGTGGTCCATCCTTAAGAATACGCACCTAAGAGAAGTGTGGGTAGATGTCAAATCAATTCTAGGGTGACCTAGTAAAGAAGCACCAACTTCAGTATTTGGGCTTAGAAACAGTCTGGCAGTTAATGAAATTTGGTTCAGAGATGGTCATACAAGACTGTTGGGGGTGGTTTGTAGACTATCTTCAAGGACAAACACATTATCTTCAAGGACAAACACAGATCTAGTACATTGCAGGGGTAAGAGAAGATCAGGCAGAGTTGGGTGGTGCAGCGAAGTGCATCATCAGATTAGTTACATTACCACAAATGCTCCAAGTCCAACTCCTCTTGAATTTTGTTAACTTCTACCTGATGCCATTTCGGTATTGAACTTTTGACTAGATCCTTGTTTATACGGTTGAGCAATTAACCTTGCTGAACTACAACTTAATGTATGGTCCTGATGCTTTGTGCTCGACATTAATCAAGTCAACTAAACATTTGGGATCCTCAGAATCTTGGGGCATAGGAAAAGATATTTTAATTCATTCCTCTAAAACAGGGGTCCTCGAACTTGACAGCTTTAAAACTTGTGGACTTCAACTCCCAGAATTCCTCCTCTAGTCATGTTAGCTCAGGAATTCTGGCAGTTGAAGTCCACAAGTCTTAAACTTGCCATGTTTGAAGACCCTTGCTCTAAAAATTAGCCATTTTCATGTGTGTGTATTTTTGTAAAATAAAAGTCAATTGAGAATCTATGGAGATTCTCAGTCATCCAAGTCATGGTTGTCCCAAAGGTGCCTTTTCAAGGGGCAACTGGACTCTCTGTTGTTGTTGGTTTTTTTTGAAGACATTTCACTTCTCATCCAAGAAGCTTCTTCAGTTCTGACTGAATGGTGGGGTATAAATCCTTCCACTCCCCACCATCCAGTCAGAGCTGAAGAAGCTTCTTGGATGAGAAGCGAAACGTCTTCAAAGAAAAACCAGAAAGTCCAGTGGACTGTTGTAAAAAAAAAAAAGGCCTTTGGAAAAGTCAATTGAGACAATTTTTCTTTTCTTTTAAAATGTTCCCTGGGGATAAGCTAGAGAGGAAAGGGTTAAAACTCCACTCAGTCTCTGAAAAGATCCTGATGTGGATCAACTCGGCTGCATAGGTACTTTGAAGTAAATAAAATTAGAGATGGAGTTGTACAATATATAATTCATGTAATGTGTAGTTTGTCCTTAAGAATAGCCATCTAAGTCAAAGTTTTAAAAGACATCAAATCAATTCCAGTGTGAAAAATTATAAATGTCATTGCACCAATGATGTGTCCTTTGAATCTCTGGGTGTGTAATTTTGCAAGGATAAACCCCACGGGCATCATTACACTTTTACTGCACTCCATGTTAAGCTAACCTTTTGTGCTGGAGTCACATCTTAGTTATTGGCTGGACAAAATTAGCTGAAGATAAACAAGGGCTAACAGAATAACAGAGTTGGAAGAGATCTTGGAGGCCTTTTAATCCAATCCCCTGCTCAAAAAAGACACCTTCTAGCATTTCAGACAAATGGCTGTCCCATCTTTCCTTAAAAAAACTCCAATGATGGAGCACCCTCAATTTCTGGAGGCAAGTTGTTCCACTGATTAATTGTTCTCACTATCAGGGAATTTCTCCTTAGTTCTAGGTTGCTTCTCTCCTTGATTAGTTTCCACCCATTGCTTCTTGTCCTGTGCTCAGGTGCTTTGGAGAATAGCTTGACTCCCTCTTCTTTGTGGCAGCACCTGAGATATTGGAAGACTGATATCATGTCACCCCTAGTCCTTCTTTTCACATACCCAATTCCTGCAACTGTTCTTTGTATGTTTTGTCCTCCAGCCCCCTATTCATCTTTGTTGCTCTTCTCTGCACACTTTCTACAGTCTCAACATCTTTTTTATTCCGTTGTGGCCAAAACTGGATGCAGTATTCCAAGTGTGCTCTCACCAAGTGGTATTAACACGTCACATATTATTGGGGGAAGTGGGTAATGTTTATTATATACCACCAAATGTGAAGACATTTGAGTCCTAAAGTTAACTGGAATTTCTGGGTAGTGTATATTATCACACCCATAGAAATAGTGATAGGACTTTGTCCTTCTAATATTGGATACCATCTCTTTTTCAAATGTTATATTTCTGACCTTTAAGCAGAGATAAATTACAACTGCAGAGTCAAAGACTATATGTCACAATAGATGTACAAAAACATAAGTCTAGTGCATTATGTTTTAACCATGCCAACTTCCCCAAGCATGCTGACCTGGGAATTCTGGGAGTTGAAGTCCAAGCATCTTAAAGTTGCCAAGGGTGAGAAGCATGGGTCTAGTGATTAAAGTGTTGGGCTAGGAACAGAGAAATGTAAGTTGTAGTCTTGTCTTGGGCATAAAGCCAGCTGGATGACCTTGGGCCAGTTAACCTTGGGCCAGTTAACCAATGGCAAACCACTTGCAAAGTCTTGCCAAGAAAACTGAAGGAATCTATCCAGACAGTTGCTAGGACTCAACATTGAATGGAAGGTTTTCTCCACCAACATACACAACACACACACACACACACACACACACACACACACA